TGCAATAAGGCACATGCTACTACATTCATCCGTATTTGTCTGTTCATGTAGGAATGATAATTCAGTTTGGTTTCATTTTCTCGCACATGATTCTCTGCCATCATTGTAGTAGTTCTTCCCAAAAGGATCATGTGCCGTCAACCTAGGAGTTGTTAAGGAAAAGCATCAACATAAGAACAGCACATGTGAAACCAGTGGAATAACGTGATTAAAGATGTATAGCAGCCCATCAAATTTAGCACAAGAACGTGAATTCGGATGGTAGAGCCAACAACTGCAACATGCATCAACGTTATGCTCAAACAACCTACCCGAGATGGTGAAGCATCTCGATGATAAAACAGAAAGCTGGCAAATCAATCCATATCACTATTGTCAAGTACTCCCTCCGTAAACTAATGTAAGAGCGTTTAGAATACTAAAATAGTGATCTAAACGCTCTTATATTAGTTTACAGAGGGAGCAAGTTATAAATATCTGGATAAAAATAAGACATGCTCACTTAAACATGATTTGGAGAAAATGTCATATAATATTTTAAGTGGAAAAAGGAGCACACCGGACCATATTTGATGGAATGGTTCTATTCAAGAAAGAGCCAAAATAAAACGTGAAGCAACATAGTAATAATGCTCGTAAATAGAACTAGAACCACAAAACATGCCTCAAGAAAGGTCATGATTCATCGGTAAGCATATACGTTGGCATTTGCATGGCTGGGAGGGTTTTCGAAACGTGACCGAGGCATTTTATGAATTTTGATTTGAATTCGAGCCAAGGGTGGTGGTGGTCGGGGCCGAGGAGCGATCCGTGCGACGCGGCACGTGACGCGCGTGCCTGCCGCGCAGATCCAGCTCCTCCATCCACCCAGCGGCCAATGGCAGACACACTCCAGGCAACCTTCTTCCGTGCGGCCCCACCCACCACCATCAGCCCGAAGCACCCGCGCGGCCTCCCCTGTCCCCCTCGCGTCGCCCTTTCCAAGGACCAGCTGCCAAGACCGACGACCGGGCCGGCGGCCGGCGGGCGGACAACAACAACAACAGGCGGAACCACCCACCCTGGCCAGCAGCCGCCAGCACGGACGAGACAAGCGGGCGGCGGAGAGGAGAGAAGAGGCACGCGCCACCACCGGCCGCTCCTGTCGTGCGCGCGGCCTCCTGTTTTCCCGGAGATTTGAGCCGGAGGCGCGCGTCGCGGGGGCTGTCTAGCTAGCTGCGTTCGCGCGAGCGGCCCGCCCGTCTATCTCCTTGTTCGCCTTGGCGTGGCGGCCGGCGGGAGGGGACGGGAGGGAAGGGGATGGGCGCGTCGGACAACACCAAGGGGCTGGCGCTGGCCGTGGCCTCCAGCGCCTTCATCGGCGCCAGCTTCATCCTCAAGAAGATCGGCCTCATGCGCGCCGGCAAGTGCGGCCTCCGCGCAGGTATATACCTCCTCTCCTCGCCGTCTCTCCCTCTCCTCTCTTCCCCCCCTTGCCGGATCCCCGATCGACGCCGGCCGCTCCTCCTCCACCGACCGGATGGTCCCCTGCTCTGCGCGTCGCGCCGCGCTGCCTTGGTCAATTTCGAATCCCACGGCCGCTCCGGCCTGGCCCGGCCAACCAGTGCTTCGGATCTCGACGCTCCCTTCGATCCCTGGAGCAATGGCGTCTGGAACGGGCCATGATTCCAGACCCGAGATTTCGAAATGTACGGGCGTCTGGATTGGTGCCGGGCGGCTGCTGCCGTGTTCGTCAAAAGTCAAACCTGTGCGCTGCGGGTTGTTGCTGTCTTCTGGACGCCAGCTACGCTCGTGCTGATTGGCAGCCAGTCATCTTCTTGTATCATGCTTCCACCATACGGGTCAATGAGAATCGAGAGGGCCTCTAGAAGATCAAAACTATTACACCGAGAAATGGTGTAGGATTAGAGAGACAGAGCCATGATGAGAATTGAACAACTGTAGATATGCTTATGCTTTGGAACATGATTTTGTCTACCTTGCTGTAAGTTGGGTAATGCGAGGTTGGATGGTGATTTTTCCAGGCCAGTAGGTTCCAGTGATGGATGGTGACTCGAATGTCATGAACCAATTTACGGCCCGCTTTTCTGCGTATGTGTGCAGTTACAATATGTCTAGGATCACTGGCTTCATCAGAGATATATGAACCAAAATCTCTTACTTTTCAGATGTCCCACTCCTTATTAACCTCCTGTTTGTGCTTAACTAGCATGATTGGCACTACAAAAACAAAACATTTTTGACATTTCACCTGCTTTCTGGATTTTTATATGCGAATGTTCAACCAATTCAGACTTGATATTTGTCTTGGTAACTGTCCTGCGATTTCAGCTTACATGTTTCTGCTTCTCCCTCTCTCTCAATTACAGGCGGAGGAGGATACACGTATCTTCTGGAGCCTCTCTGGTGGGCCGGCTTGATCACCAGTATGTTCATTCTGCACAAAGTTAGCCGTGGGTATTGATTTAATTATGCGACTAAACTTTCTTTTCTTGACATTTACAAGTGCTGCTTGGGGAGGTCGCCAACTTCATTGCCTATGTCTTCGCACCGGCCGTCCTTGTGACTCCTCTTGGAGCACTAAGCATAATCGTCAGGTGAATTTGCAAAAACCAAAACCCCTAGTTTCAATGTCGTCTTTGATTCCCCCGTGCTTGACATAAACGTTTTTCTACAAATGGCCAGTTCAGTGTTAGCGCACTTTGTGCTGAAGGAGCGGCTTAACAAGCTCGGCGTTCTTGGCTGTATATCATGCATAGTAGGCTCAGTTGTTGTCGTTCTACATGCCCCTGAAGAGCACATGCCCGATTCCGTCGAAGAAATCTGGGATCTAGCTACCCAACCAGGTGAGTCATCGGCCTGCAATCATACGCCTTATGTCAGTTGTAGCACACCCACATGTCTGACAGCCTTTCTCCATATTATGGTGTCAACCATGGGCAGGATTTCTAGCATACGCGGGAACAACATTGTTACTCATGGCAATAGTAGTAGTGTTCATCGAACCGCGGTATGGTCAGAAGAACATCCTGATATATCTGGGTATCTGCTCTTCAATGGGATCATTAACAGTAAGTGTGCTTTTAACTTTGAGATGCACAGCCTAACATCAGCGAGTTTTCGAGTTGAATATCACTACTTTGTAGGTTGTTAGCATCAAAGCCGTTGGTGTTGCCATAAAGCTTACGCTGGATGGAATGAACCAGCTTGCCTATCCACACACATGGCTTTTTATTCTGGTCGCAGTTATCTGTGGGGTTTCTCAGCTAAATTACCTCAACAAGGTAGCACATCTTCTCCTCCTTCTAGTTACTTGTTACTCCTGTCCTGTGAATATGTTTTGCTTGATTGCATCTACATGAGCTTGTACTACTCGGTTTTTGACAACTTACGATTTTCATGAATTTGCTACTTATTTTGTTACTTGATTAAGTCAAACTTTATTTTCCACCGCAGATATTAAGAAAAAAATGAAGTATTATTTTACTTGGTCTAGTTTATTTAAAATCATTCTAGTGTTTTTCTCTATTTTCTTGTTATGCTGATTTTATTCAACTTTTGCAGGCACTGGATACCTTTGATTTAGCTATGGTGTCCCCAGTTTATTATGTTATGTTTACAACCCTTACAATAGTGGCGAGTTCAATTATGTTCAAGGTAGAAAGCAACTTTAGATTGTTTAGTTAATTCAACTGGACTTTGTGGTGCAGATTGCAACTCATTCTGCTTGCTGTCAAATGCAGGACGGGGCTGGACAAAGCTTAAGTAGTATTGCTTCTGAATGCTGCGGCCTGGTAACGATCCTTTCTGGAACAATTTTGCTGCACGCAGCAAAGCAAAAAGAAGCTGCCAGTTCTCCAGGTACAATTTTGTGGCTCAGTGATGCGCACATGTGGTAGTTGTTTCAAAATGTACCATGTTCTGTTGCATCACCGTCATCTCCTTTTTCTGAAAAAAATAATAACTGTCTAAAATAAAAAAAAGTGAACATGTTTCAAGTAACTTGTCTTGGAGTAATAAATCTATCAGAATGTTTCTTAACTACTGTGAGCTCTAATTCCCACTGATTTTCACAAATAAAAAAGAAGAATGTTTTAGTTCTTTTCTGCCCCAACCGCTGTTTTGAACTGGATTTGTTCTTCCAAACCTGTTATAGGCAGTTCTCTTTAACATTCCATATCAGTATCAGATTTAGGAAAGACCTGAAAAATTATTCCTCTGTTTGCAGCATCCACTTGGCCTCTGGATAGAGGGATATCTTGGTATATCAGCGTAGGCAGCGACAATCTACTGAGGAACGTCGAAGACGACTACTTCGCCGCTCCACAAAGTTCGCCAACCACACCCTGATCATACACTTGGAGACAAGTCCAAATACTTTGACCGGAGAAGAAAGTCCTTGGACACTTGTAAAGAGGAAACCGTGTGAGTTGCGGCGGAGCCTCAGCAGCGCCAGCATTCTGGCGGTTTTGGTTGAGAAGATGAAGATTTCGTCAGCCATTCTTTCGTCGTTCGCACGTACATAGGAACCTGTCTAGGATAGGCCCTGCTGTCCAATTCCAGCTTGTAAGTTGTTTGTCGATGAGCGGTGAGCGGGCTGAAGTTGTCGGCCTGCGTGTTGTTGTGCATTGTGTAGAATTTTTCTCCTTGTGATTAGGCTTCAGGGTGGAACATCAATGCGCGATTCGATTTCGATGCCGCCGTTCTTCTTCTGAGAGAGAATTTCGGTTTCATCGTTGAGCTTAATTAGTTTTGATTGAGCAGATGTATACATTCAGTGGAGGCTGCAGCCTCCTGTTAATGTCAAATCTTTAAATTGCTGATGATATTGTTGCCATATGAGATTGTGACATGTTGCTGCACATATCTCGGCAGGTTACCTGCATGTCTGTTCCAACAAAATTAGCGGTTGGTATTTGGAGTGTGTCTATGCACGGACAGTGCTACTGCTACTACAAAACTGGCACCAAACGCGTGAACGAGGGCCAGGAGAGTGGAGAATGGCGGCTGACCTCCGGCAGGCGCCGGCGTGGTTCGTCTGGCTGGCCGTCCTCGGCGCCCTCCACGTCGCGGCGCTCTCGTCCCGCCTCCTCGTCCACCTCGCGCACTGCCTGCGCCGTCCCAGGGACCTCCGCCGGCGCTACGGCGCGTGGGCCGTGGTCACCGGCCCGACGTCCGGCATCGGGCGGTCCGTCGCCCTGGAGCTCGCCGGCCGGGGCCTCAACCTCGTCCTCGTCGGTCTAGACGCCGCGGACCTCCGGGAAGTCTCTGACACGATCACCTCCCGCCACCCCGTGGAGACCAGGACCGTGGTGTTCGACCTCTCCCTCGTCTCCACTCCCCAAGGTACCACGTAGTTCACTCAGGTTTGGGGTATGTCGGAGGGCATGGCGACGGCCTGCAGGCACTTGACGGTCCTCTCGGCCGGCGGCGTGCAGGCGACGAGGCGATGCGGCGGCTCCGGGACGTCGTGGAGGGGCTGGACGTGGGCGTCCTCGTGAACAACGCCGGGGTGATGAGCCCTCGCGCGGCGTTCTTCCACGAGGGCGACTTGGAGGCGTACGTGCGCATGATCCGCGTGAACCTGTGGGCGCCGACGGAGGTGACGGCGGCGGTGATCCCGGGCATGGCGGCGCGGGGCAGGGGCGCCGTGGTCAGCATGGGGTCGGCGACGTCGGAGGCCGTCGCCTCCTTCCCGCTCCACGCCGTCTACTCCGGCACCAAGCGGTACGTCGCGGTGCTCTCCGGGGGCCTCGCCGCCGAGTACGGGGGCCGAGGGGTCGACGTGCAGTGCCAGGCGCCCATGTTCGTGGCGACGGCGATGATCGCCGACTTCTCGGCGGTCTGGCGCCCCGCGCCGCTGGTGCCCACCGCCGACGCCTACGCGCGCGCCGCGGTGCGCTGGGTCGGCCGCGGCGGCCCGCTCTGCGTGCCCAGCCTCCGGCACCGGCTGCTGTGGTGCCTCCTCGCCGCCGTGCCCGGCCGCGTCCAGGACTGGGCCTGCCTGCGCGAGGGCCTTCGGCAGAGGAACACGTCCCGGAGATCGTCGACGGCGTCCGCAAACCTTAACTAAATCAAAACTTTCCCTGCCTTCTTCTACCCATATCCAAATCAAATTAAATTTTACCAAAAATCAGAAATATGATCGTTCCAAGATTTATGTCGCACACGATTGGTGTTAAACCAGTAAAATATGTATGTATGCCCCAATTGCAATGCATGTAAGATCTCTTATAATCCGACGCTACTGGCTACATACATATACAATATGTAAGATCTCTTATAATCCCCTAGCAATTGAAATCAACTTCCACATGGTATTCTCCGGCTTTATTGATGACGTGGTCAAGAAAGAATCCCGCCAATTTCTCTTGAATTGCTTTCATGCGATCTTGTGGTAGGAGTTCGTTTCGCATCTGCCACGTCTAATTTGAAGAAGGGGGTTAATACATATATATGAATGAAACTCAACAGAAATGATGGTATAATAAAATGAAATTGTGAATATTATTGCTTACGCACTTCATATTGTCTTTTAGAGTAGCCCCGCTTATTTTCCAAAGTCGCGTTGTAGATGAACTCGCACATGTAGTATCCACAGTAATTATTTCCTTGTTCCTGCCACAAGCACTTTACAAGAAATAGAGGTCAATCAAACTGATAATGAAGCATTATAAATGGCATTGATGAAAGTATAGCTATAGAATCAACGGGAGATGCGCGCAACTAGCTAGCCAGTAGTACTTACTTTCGGGTATGTATATCGCAGCTCCTTCGGCAGTCCCGGAGCTTCTGCGGCGAACTGTTTCCAAACCCTGCAAGACAAAGAAAATAATTATTATTACTTGAGATATCAGGAAATGAACAAAAAGTTGCCGATATGGTGCGGTGATGATCGATTAAACTTACTTGTTGAGCATTTTATTCATGTCCGCATAGGTTTTGGGATCTTTTCGTCTCGAATCTAAGACGGTTACTAGTCCCCGCTCAAGCTTAATCTCCAGAAAAACATAGTGGAAGCTGCGCACGCATGCATAACTCATCAATTACATTATTATAACCTCGCTCGAGTAATAAGGGAAACCGAATATGCACACGACAGTAACACTCACTCGAAGTTGTAAGGAAAGAGTATTAAATCTTTGTTTTGATTTTTGATCAATGATTGTAGCAAGTTGGCCTTGGCCTCTTCGACGTGCTTTTTAACCTGAATTTCATCTATGATATTTGTGTTAATGAACCCAATATCATACATTTCTTGTTTTCTGCACTCGACGATCTTCAATCTGCATATAATATAGTGAGGATAATTAATTATAAATACATGCAATGAAAGAGCCGAGCTATATATAGAGACTTAATGACAGAAATAGTACTTACAGACAATAGCAAAAGACCGTTAATTTATCGAGGGCCTTTTGATTGAAGAACTCGAAGAACTCCTCAAATGGAACAGGCAACAGATCAGTTCCAACGAGGTCGTGCTCCTCTTTAATTCTCAAAAACAAAGTATTCGTCCCCCCAGACTCTCTGCGGGTTTTCATGTACCAATTATGGAATCTTCGCATCATCGTTGTTAGAGATTTTTCATCTTTGACGAGAGGCTTCCCATACTCGTATCTGTGTTCGTCCACCTCCATGAAATCAAAATTTACATTGTCAGGCAGGTAAGCTGCAAGATTGCTATAACCGGGCACCGTCCCCGAAGCATTAGCGACGACGTCGCCGCTAGACACATTGAGCGGGGGGCACGATTGATTTGCTTGTTCGCCGAGATGGGCAATTTTTTTCGTAGCTACTCGTTCTTTTAACCTTTGATCACTGACAGTACTTCCCGACCACTCCGCTTCGAGATATGCCTATTCAGTAATGCGCTCATAGTTGGTTCTCGGCGAAGACTTTGGTGGTTTCCTCAGGGCATCGATAGTGCGCTTTGCTTTCACCGGATCTACCTTCTCCTTCGGAGGTGGATGTCTCTTTGCTTTCAACCCTTTAAAGAAGTCCTCCACTTCGGTCCGCACGATCTTCGCGTTTTCCTCCTCGGTCCTCTCGTACGGTAACTTCTCTAGAGGCTTGAGAGAAGGACCGTATCTGTATTGCCTCCCGCCTCTGATGGCTGTACTGCTAGACACCGGAGCAGACGGAGCGGCTGCGGCGTCTGTCTTCTTTCGTGCTTGCTTACGAGGCGGAGGAGAAGGACTACGACGCGCCGGAGCAGCCGGGGCGGCGGCGGGTCTCTTCCGCCCTTGCTGGCGAGGCAGAGAAGGAGGAGGCTGCTGGCTGCTCGGGCGCGCCGGCGCAGGCGGAGAAGGAGGCGCAGTGCCGCCACGCGCCGGAGAAGGAGGCCGAGTGCCCTGATCGTCACTCGCCGGAGGAGGAGGCGGTGGAGGAGGCGGAGTGCCCTGACTCATCGGAGGAGGAGAAGGAGGCGTCCAGTTCGGAAGCTTGATGAACTCCTTCCGCCATAGGCATGGAGTCTTCAGAGCAGAACCCAGCCAAGTCTCCCCTTCACCGGTAGGGTGGTCAAGCTGGAGGTCCTCAAATCCCTCCGTTATTTCGTCCACCGTCACCCTAGCATATCCTTCTAGAATCGGACGACAGTGAAAAGTTGCGTCGGGTTTAGAAGGTCAAACTTGGCCGACAGCCGCCTTGACTTTTAAGTTCTGCCATTGCGTCATAAGGTGGCAATTTTGAGACTCCGTGATAAAATCCACGGGGTAGCTAGCAGGAGCCGTCAAGACATGCTCCGGCTGAAGTAGCTCGGTGGAAGCCACGCTGCTTCTCTGCTGAGATGGTGGGGTAGCTTCGGAGGAAGCTTCGGCAGGTCGTTTGATGCGATCTGCTTCTCGTTCCTCTAGCCCTTGTACCCTTGCATGCAGCGCCTGCAGTTGGCTATGCTCCAGTTTCTTCCTCCTCTCACGGCATTTGTAACCGCCTGCGTCCGAAAAACCAACCTTCCATGGAATGGAGCCTGGCGTGCCTCGTGTCTGTCCAGGGTGCTCAGGATTCTCGAGGGCCATTGTGAGCTCGTGCTTCTCCCTGTCTGGAACGAACGTCCCTTGCTGCACTGCATCGATATAGTGCCGAAGCCTCTTGACTGGTATTTTCAGTTGCTCGTCCGTCCAACGGCACTTCCCTGATACATGGTCCAAGGTTCCGCCAGCCCCGAAGAACCAAGTCCGACAATGGTCTGACCAGTTCATTGTCTCTGGTTCGATCCCTTTATCAAGCAGATCATTCTCAGCCTTGGCCCACTTAGGTCAGGCTTTGAGGTAGCCACCTGACCCCGTGCGATGGTGAAACTTCTTCTTCGCAGCATTTTGCTTGTTTGTCACCGACATATTCTTACTCTTTTCCGATGTCTTGTGGGCCACAAATGCGGACCAGTGATCTCTGATCTTCTCATATTTGCCGATGAATTCTGGTGTCTCTTCTTTGTCGACAAACTTTTTCAGCTCTTTCCTCCACCTCCTGAATAGGCCTGCCATCTTCTTAAGAGAAAAATACTTGATTAATTGCTCTATAACTGGCTTCTCCGGATCCTCCTCTGGCGGTAGGGTGAAATTTGACTTTAGCTCAGTCCAAAGATCATCTTTCTGCATATCATTGACATAAGACACCCCAGGGTCTTCGTTCTTAGGCTTATACCATTGATGGATGCTGATCGGGATTTTGTCCCTAACAAGAACCCCGCACTGAGCAGCAAATGTGTTCTTTGTCCGGATGGGTTCAATCGCTTTGCCGTCGCGCGCGATTGCTATGATCTCAAACCTTTCATCCGAGCTCAACTTTTTCTTCGGGCCTCGTCTCCTCACCGAAGTTGTGCTCGATTTGGAGGGCTAGAAAAAAGAAGAAAGACGAGAGTTAATTAATATGTGTACATATACCAAAACAATGAATGCATCAATTAGCTAGTCAGCACAGGCTTAACTAATATATATACCTGGCCAGACTCGGTTCGGTCACCGGAGCCGTCATCACGGTCTCCTTCTTGCACCGTCATTGGGTCACCGGAGCCGTCCTCACGGTCTCCTTCTTGCACCGGCATTGGGTCAAAGGAGCCATCATAATCATAGCCTGCTTGATCACCCTGTCCTTCCAGACCATCGGTGTCGTTCAGAAACGATAAGACGGCATCACTTCCTTGTGCGATTATCTCCCCCAACATCGCTTCTGTTGCTTCGTCTCGGGGGGTGTCCATAGTTTCTACAAATATTTACAACATGGCAATTATTATTCAAATATGACAGATATGGATATATTAGTGGCAAATGTAGAACTAGCTAGCTAATCACAGTAAGGAATCATATTAATTAGTGGCCTCGACGCTGCTTCTCTAGGGTTTGGGGTGGCCTCGACAACG